ACTTGATAAAACGTGTCATAATTATTGTAGCCCGGAGTAACTTTTTTTTTTTAATCAAAAGTTTGGAATAGCTAAAATTATGTTTTATTTAGGTGTAGAGAAAATTTGACCAATCTTACCGAAAGAAGTGATAGTAACATGAAAATACATTGGAAGAGCATATGATTAGCAATAAATTCATTTATCTTCATTTAGCTATTAGCTAATAAATTTACCTTAAGCAAACCAAGAATCTATTTTATAGATTCTTTTATTCTTTAATACATTTAGAATCGCTTTTGGGTCATCGTCCCATCTAGCATTTTTTTAAACATTGATAACAACAAAAACCATGATGGTGTTATTTGAGCTGCGTGTGTTGCAGGAGTCTGAGAAGGTGGCATTAGCTGACTCAACTGGGTTAGATCAGAAACAGATCAATAATTGGTTCATAAACCAAAGAAAACGTCACTGGAAACCGTCTGAAGACATGCAGTTCATGGTGATGGATGGTCTGCAACACCCGCACCACCACGCAGCTTTATACATGGACGGTCATTACATGGGCGATGGACCTTATCGTCTCGGCCCATAAGAGATCACAGAGATCCAAAACCCCTTGTTGCTTTCTTGTTACAATCCATGATTGAACTTCTACATCAGCTTGCTACCTATAGCTTTATTTGTTCACCATTCTGTAATCCCTTATACATTATTTGGAAATTGGTTTTTTGGAGTTTGTTTATATATATCATCTCTACAAATACAATTACTCCCAAACAAAATATCATGACTTGGCATTATAATAATTTGTTGATAAAATTTTAATATGATTAATTATCATAAATTTCAAATTTGGTAGGATTTGAATTCTAAACAGATTTTATATTCTCAAAGCACGTTTATTGATCTTATAGCCATCAATCTTAATTCGAAATTTAAATATTCAATAAAAAAAAAATTTAGTGTACGCCATTTTTAAGTGATCAGATATTCAAAGTTATCAAAATTCAATAACAAAGAAAATTAAAAAATAGAGGCCATCAGATTCAATATTTTTTTTTAAAAAGCAACGATTACATATTTTTGGTCATCGGATTTTAGGAAAGTCGGTTTTTTCATACCCAAAGTATGGGCATATGTTCGATACATACTTGTACTTTGATACTATGCTAAAACATACACGAAGTAAATAAAAATTTGAATTCCATACCCGAACTTCTAATTTTGTGCATAATTATACTTGAGCAGTAACATAGTAGACTATCCGTTAAGTCGTGATTACGTGGCGCTAAACATTGATTAAGTGGTAGACACGTGTGCGTTCTTATGCGAACGGGTTCATTAGAAACAGCGTCGTTTGTAGCAAAGAAAAAATACAAAAAACGTTTGCATTATGACTTCAGCTAGCGCCGTTTCAAGTAGTTTTTTTGTATTATGACTTTGCTACAAACGACGCCGTTTATAATGAATCCGTTTGCATAAAAACGCACACGTGTCTACCACGTAATCAATGTTTAATGCCACGTATCACGAGTTAATAGATAGTTAACTCTGTTACTGCTCAAGTATACTTATGCACAAAATTAGAAGCTCGGGTATGGAATTCAAATTTTTATTTACTTCGTGTATGTTTTAGTACATTATCAAACAAATATGTATCGAACATATGCCCAACTTTAGGTATGAAAAAGCCGACTTTCCTCGGATTTTGTATTTCGTTGTTAAATCAACGGTTACATATTTTTACATACGAATATTCAAATTTTACATTTTTAAAAAAGTTTAACATTGTCATATTATATTGGGGGAATTTCAAAATGCCACTACCAAGAGTTCAATCTGAAATAGAAAAAGGTCAGGCCATATAACGGGAGATCTCTAAATCTTATATTTTCCAAATTATTCCATATAATTAAATAAAATCGTTTTTCTTTAACAAAATATGAAATAGTGTAAAGACATTAACCATAAGTAAAATAGAAAACAACAAATGTTTGAGAAACAAAAGAAGAAGAAAAAGGTAGAGTACTTGGTTTATATTGTATCAAAAAGTTAATAATTTTTTGAATGTTTAGGAAGAGTTGCTCATATTAGTTTTTTGATATCGAATTCAGTATTTATTCAAAATTTAATGTAAAGAAAATGATTTTTTTTAATAGGCGATCAAATAAATCTTTTATGACAGAAATTTTAACTTTTTATAATAGATTGTGCACTCTTG